TTCTGATTTTCTATAGCTTTCCTCATTGGCTTATCATGGGATATTTTAAAAGGGCCCCTTATGTAATATGGATGAACTCATGAATAGTTTGTGTTAGCTTAGAAAAAACAAAAACAAAAAAGTTTTGGTGACTTCTTTGGCGGGGATGTGAGACAATCAAGGTGCCAAGTCAAGATTACAAATGACAAAAGAAAGATCACTAACAGTAAAAGCCAGAGATGAGAAACAACAGTGTGAACACATTTAAAGGATAGAGGGGACCCCAGCAGCAGAGCTCAGCACTGTTTTTACTGAGGGAACAATCAGCTGAGCACCACTGCTCCATACCAGGGGGAGTTCTTGCTGAGTCAAGTGCAGTTGCTTGGATAGATTACTCGTGAACACACTAAGCACACACATCAGCCAGGTTAGCTATTCCCTTCCTCTGCCGAGGTTCCCTTGCTCTTGGCCCCGCCTCTGTAACTGTAGGAGGAGTTCGATTCTTCCTTTATTACTTTTAAAGTATACACTTATAATTATGTGTATGTCTGTGTGGAAGTATGTGCACATGAGTACAAGCGTCCACAGACATCAGCAGAGGGCGCCCTACCCCCTGGAGCTAGAGTTACAGGCAGCTATGAGCTTCCTGTTGTGGATCTCCTATAAGAGCAGGATATGTTCTGAGTCATTTAGCCAGCCCTGAATTTCAGGTTATTAAACCATGCATCCTGCCTATATTTCTTTCACTATTAAAACAAAACAAAACAAAACACCATTCTGACTTAGATCTGCCAAATGATGTCAGAATGGATTAATAAAAATGCCCAATTTAGAACACTGACCCTTCGTTTCACATTGGCTGTTTAGGTTCTTATCGAATCAGAAATGCCAGTGTCTAAATCAGGCTGGCAGAGGGATCCCACTTCTAAAGAGGCATCCAATCCAGTGTCCAGAGGAGGTTTTGTGATGATTAGGATTGGGCTAAGAAACATTGGGCATGATAGCCACAGCCTGCCCTGGCTATCATCTTTGCAGTAGGGTTTCTCTGTTGCTATCCACTATTTTTAGCAGATACATATTTCTTATCTACCCCCTGCTTCTTCCACTCCAGTTCTGCCCAGGTGCAAAAGCTGTGATCCATTTTTATATTTGTCCAGGTCATAGTTGCACAGAAATCTGCAGTTATCCCTTGAGGATAATGCCAAACTGAATCCTTTTGCCCTAAACTAGAGGCTGGATGAGCCTCTAGCATTGGGTCTTCTGGAAACTTCTAATTCTCATCATCTGTTCTTTCTTGTGTACTCTAGACTCCTTTCCCTATCTTGTCTCCACTTTCTTTCATATGACCCTGAAAGACAAAGTGCTGGTAAGTGCCCTTCCCTGGCTCATTTAAAAATTGTCATAAAATTTATAGCTGGCTTAGACTGGCCATCACTGATCTTCTAGATGTGGCTATGGCTGAGTGCTGTTTTGTGATTATCTACTGACTTATTTATAACAAACACTACAAAGGTCCTTGCTGCTCAGAGAGACTTAGAGATACAGCGGTTATCTGTCTTGAAAACAGAGTGAATGTTTGAGGTTCTCCGTGTAGAATGGGCAGGCTTGAGTTGTCTAACTACACGTTTTAAATGGAACGGTAAAAACACCCCAAGCTTTAGTATACAATAACACAAAAGCATTACTGCTAGGTAGAAGGGGTGGAATGCGCCGAGTCAGCACAGGGAAGGTCTTCTAAGCGCAGGCTTCTGCAGCACTAGTGAAGTGAACAAATGCAAACAAGGTGTGTTATGAAGATGAGATTGGGGGCAACCATCAAGACACTCCAAAATGTGCTGAAGTTAACTGCTCATAGAGCATGAACTGAGAGGCTTCTATCCAAACTCTCTGCCTTGATTCTGCCGTTTGAAGGATGTGTGAGAGCAGGATGGGTTAAATGTTTGAAAATCTGAAGGCTGTTGTTCATTGCATTGTATATTGAAATATGTGGCTGATCGGATCTCTCTGAAGTTCCTGGTGTGGAGTTGGTCACTAGCTTAAGCTTATTGCTCTTTGCTCTTTCGTAGGGGATTTTTTTTTTTTTTTCCAGAGATAAACAAGGTAATCGCATGGAACAGATTTGAAAAGAGGTGTTTTCATGTTGTTTCCAAGGAGAAATCATGGCTGTATCATTTTCAGGTTAATGCCAACACCAGGGCACCAGTGATTTCTTTAGCAGTTCATTGTTGTAGGAGGAGTCGGGCGTCTGGTAAATAACTATTTCCCCAAACGCGGTTAAGGACTGAGGTTAGGCTTGGTGACAGTAGCAGTGAATGCTGAGGCAAAACTCCTTTGCAGAAACCAGTGCTGCCTTGTAGGGGGGTTACTGGCCAGTCACTGGTGGTGATGGCGGAAGAGGAGGAGCCACTCCTATAAAGTTGAGGATGGTTTCACCCCACGACAGTGTAAGCCAGGAAGAGGAGGAGTTACACATTAGGAAGACCTGCTGCAGCATGGCTAGAAAGGGACTGTTTGAGTGTGGCTGCATACACCAAGTACACATGAGGACCGAACACAGACCAGTCTCACATGATACTCCATGAAAAAGCAAAGACCCCAGACCAATGACAAATGGAATGCAGTCTGTGTCTTTCGGGATATTGTGGATGTAGATTTTATTTATAATCCATGTAAACGCCTTTGGAACACACCCTCTTCTTCCTTGCCAACGTCTCAGACTCAAAGCTGCTGTAGAACACTTAGACATATCCCAGAATGCTTTTCTCACATAACACTCAGCATAGGCCACCTTCCGTTCCCCCATTCTACACTTCCAGTTCTGGGTTTGGTTTGGTTTTGCCTTTTTCACTGTCTCTTTATATTTAATGTAGCATTACCTATTACAAGAAGATTAGAAATGAGTTTGTCCAAATCAACTTAGATCAGGGTGAATAAAAAAATCTGGGTAGATAATGACACAGCTCTCCCAGTGGTGGGGATAGGAACCTGAGCTTCAATTCCTTCCCTGATGAGATGTCTATAGCAAACACTGACGTTCACAAGTAGCTAACAAGTGCCATTCATTCTTTCAAGTGTTTTTTTTGTTAATTGTGACAGAATACTTGTAGCTTGAGTTTTTCTCTCCGGGTCTCACCAAACCCCGGCTGTCCCGTAGCCCACTTATAAAATAAACATACAGACACTTATATTATTTAAACTGCTCGGCCATTAGCTCAGGCCTACCATTGTCTAACTCTTACTCTTATACTCAGCCCATTTCTGTTAATCTATATGTCGCCACGTGTTCCGTGGCTTTACCTGCTGCCTTTACATGATGCTCCCTGGATGGCAGGCTGGCATCTCCTCCTCTCCACCTTCCTATTCTCTCAGTTTTCCTCTCTGCTAGTTCTGCCTATACTTCCTGCCTGGCTACTGGCCAATCAGTGTTTTATTTATCAATCAATCATCCACAGCACTTGTGGTTTATCTCACATATTTGCAATTTCACCATACAAATAAGGGAGTTTAGGAAGCTGAGTGGCTTGCCCAAGGTTGCATGGCTGTTGAAGGGCAAAACTTGGGCTCCTAAACCTTAGTCTCCTTCCATAGCTTGTGCCCTTAGCATCTCTCCAGGGCTGAGTGACACCAAGACCAGAGTAATCACTGAAATACTAATGTCTAAATATAAAGAATGTACCTTAATTGCATCTTCATTTTTTAGCTAAATGAACCACTTGTGGACACAGATCTGTATTAACACACTGATTACCAAATGTTAGATACTTGTCTACAATTTAGTACCAGAATGTTTCAACTACAAGTACTTGTGATTTAGGGGAAAATTTTCAATGCCTTGTCATTTGAAAAATAGTTACTGTTCTCTGCCTAGAAGATGGCAGAAAATTCCATAGCCTGGGGTTAAAATTTTGAGCAACGTATCTCTGAGTGGTTCACTCAGGATCTATCTCTGTCTCATTTGTAAAGTAGGAGGAAGGTTTCAAAAGAGAGATTAGAAACTCATCAGAGCATGGCAGGGCTGAGCGGTCCAGACTGAGGGTGTACTGAACTCCACACTATCCAATGAGCATCCTTAAAATTGGTCTTGGCATTATATCTCTCCTTTTTGAACAAGGTCCCCTTTACTATCAATGTTTCCTTGATCTCTTTGTATAAAGACTGGATTTGAAATGTTCTGCCTCTAGTGAGATTCACCATGACTCTTTGGTAGGCCTAAAAGCCACATTTTCCACTGCTTTATCTTGGCAGATGCTTTCAACCTGGTAAATGCCTTTGAGTTAGTAACTTTCATTTTCACAGTTTTAGTAGAGAGACTTCTGCCAACTGCCTTAGCTATTTTTTTCTTTGTATTGAAATTAGAGTTTGAGTGCTTGTAAAAAAGACATGGAAACAGAGAATGAAGAGACTGAGTGTAGGCCTTAGACTCTGTTGGAAGCTTTGGCTTTCTTGGTTCAAACACCAGAAATTATAAAAAAAACCATTTTAAGCCATCTGATTAGTGTTATGGAAGCAGTTTGTGGAATTATTATAAGCGCTCATATCCTCACATATGAATAGGCAGAATAAACCATGCATGTGTACACACATGATTGATTTTTCACATAGAATAGGCACCATTGTAATCGATATTACCAGCAATTGCTTTGGTAACATGAGTGTAATTTGATTTGACAGAGTGCATTGTCTTCATCCACAGGTCAATACAGGCCATATATTCAATTCCCATCAGACATTCATAAATCCCATTATCAGAAAAGAGTTTGTGGGAATCATTAAGCTAAACAATGGTGGTTCTGATGCTACCAGCAAAGTGGGAAGAAACGTGAAAAGTGCTCAGAAAGATGAAGGTGGTACTTCCACAGGGGGAAAAAAAAAGATCAGGATGCTTCTACCACCAGCTGTTAGTCTCTGTAGGGAAGCTGACCTGAACATCCTCACTTCCCCTTGGTGCTATAGAAGGATGCCGCTTGATTCGTCATGGACGTTAAAGTTCCTGTGTCAGCATATTCAGGAGAAGAACTTACCACGTCTGCTGATGACCTATTGAAGCTTCAAAGTGGAATAGCCCTCAGGTGCCCACATGAACTGAGATGGATGTAGATGTTTTCCAGAGGAGACGCTGCAGGTCTGGGCCCTGTATAAAGGAGCCAATAGCTGTAGAGATGTTCCTGTGAAAGATCTGCTTCTGAACAAGCCCAGGGCTGGCAGACACGTGACTGTGTTGGGGTTTCACCATCTCCCCTTCTGGCCGTGGAGGCTCAGTTTTCCTTCAGAAAATCCTAACCATACCCATTGCTGTGCCCATTGACTCAACTTGGTCCTGAGATGGTGACTAGAGCTACTGGGAGGTGAATTCCTTTCGATGAGATGTCGAGACTGGTTGGAAGGGCATTCGGTGCTGCTCCTGGTCATATTTGGTCTAAGTGGGGAGAGCCTGCTTGAGAATAAAGCAGCACAGAGGACAGCTGGCCAGCAAACAGAGGAAGAACCCAAAACCATTTGTACAATTGATCTGCGTGTTCATGCTTTTAATTTGGGGGCCGGGGGGGGGGGGGGGTGCGGGAGTCAATCAAGTTGCTTTGCTGCATGCATATTTGACTTAGAGCTCTGTCACTGGCACCAAGGAAATTCATTAATACAGGGCTGCCCTTCAGCCTCCAGTGAGCATTTCCCTTCTCTCTGTATTGCGTCTTTCTACATTGCAGTTCCAAGAAGGTTTTGCCATGTCCTCACTGCAGGAGTTTTACTCCGCTGTGCCCTTAGGCACCTCATCAGTAGGAACTAAAAAGACATTTCTTTTTCTTTCTGCGGTCTCGTTGTCGGTTTCTAGGGAGAAGGCAGTCTCGTTGACTGAGAGGGTCCCAGAAAAGGTAGAAAGAAGCAGCTCTATGGTCCTCCTGAGGAAGTTGGCTCTGAGACAGCACAGAAAAGTCATCTCAAACCAGAATGTTCCAAATGCAAACGGAAGCTTTCCTCCAGCTGGCAATAAACAGGGAGCACAGCGCTGCAATGCTCGGAGGCTGCCAGTTCCTGACAGAGCTGCCCAGCCACGGCTGGGGATGCTGTAAGAGGGAGGGCTTGAGCAGTGCTTTGTGGAGACCAAGTGTTTGGATGCCAACCCTCTGATTTCGCTTCTGTCCCTTTGTCATCCTTGTTTCCCTGGCCGCGTTCTTTTCCATTATAGTTCTTTTCTTCGTCGAAAATCGGACTCACAGAAACGAGCTGTAATCAGAGGACATGAGCATCCCTCAATTGTTCTCTTTTGATTTCCTACTTTATTAATATTTCAGCATGCGAAACAGAGAGGAAGCCTCTAGATCCCTGGCCCTTTGATTTAACCGTGCTATTCTCTAATCTACTGCATGGAAAATCTGAATATGCATCACAGCATCTGAAGCTGGCACTTCTAAATCCATTTGTGGTGCATTATGTAGGAAATTACTTCCATCTCGCTAGTGCTGGGGAAACCTGCAGCAGCCATCACGCCAACGTGCCTGGGGGGAAAACAAGTGTGAAGATTTATTTGTACGCCAGGGAAAATCGGGAACTAGCAACATTGCAACCTATTGATAAAGATGAGGCTTGATCCCCCAGCTTGACTGGCTCCCCAACCCTCAACTTCTGTCTCTCCCTGGATACTTAATATGTCACCAAGTAAGGTCATTGTTTGTCAGTGATCTTTGCATAGAAGAAACACACTAAAATTAAAGGCTGTATAGCAAACAAAGCGCCCCCAGATATGAGCAGGCAACTAACAAGCTACTTAGGAACAGCACGCAGTTATACGCAGCACTTTTCCATGTGCCAAACATTTTAAATTCATTTACTTTCCTTGGTCTAAGTACCCGGGACTGGAACAATTAGTTCCTCATTTAATAAGGGAAGAAATGGAGGGTGAGAGGAACCAAGCAGCCTGTTTCAGAGCCAAGTGCAAGGTATGTCTCAAGTTCAGAGAAGGAAGGAAGGAAGGAATCCTCATGGATTCATAAGGATCCTAAAACCAAGAGCTGGGATGAGAGAGAGAACAAGGCAAAATCATTTGCTATGTTGTTGGCTTCAGACAGCTTAGGGATGGGCTGGGATGTGATAAAGACTGAATTGTGGGGGTCGGTTAGGGATGTTGGAAGCATACTGTAGTGAGCAGTGGTGAGGTGCCTTCTTACCAACGGCCTGGCAATTGCTAGTGTGCCCACGACACTCTGGCACCTTCTCCAATTCCCTCACCCTTACACCCACCCCAAGATGGGCCTACAATACCTTGGGCTGCTGCTCTGTGTCCTTCTTTCCATGACTTTACACATTCTTTTCTCTCACCCATTCTCCCACCCAGTCTCAGACTCAAGTGTAAGTAGTCTTTCTTCACCAAGTGTCCTGCTTGACATCTGAACAAATTCATCTTAGTTTTGCCCCTCAGGGTGAACTCCTAGAAACAACAACTGTGTCTTTTGTTCCTCATGAAATCTCCTGTGCCTAGATGGATACCTAGCATATAGTAAGTACTTCATCGCTGATAATTATTAAATACACAAATGAATTACATTGCTTGTTAGTCACTGTCACTAAATATCACAATCAAATCAACATTTATTGAACTAAATATGACCAAATGAAGCTAAAAAAACAACAGCCATAGGATCAGTTCAGCCCCAAAGACACTGATAATATCAAATATTGACTTGCAAAGGAAGAACATGATATATTTTGGAGGCCTATTATGTAAAAAGAGTGGGATATTTGTTTTTTTCTCATCCCTTATAATTGGAAATACCCTACCTTATGGGGAGCTGGACAGATGTCTCAGCAGTTTAGAGGGCTTACTCTTCTTCCAGAGGCACCAAGTTCAGTTCCCAGCACCCATATCAAGTGGCTCATAGCCTCCTGTAACTCTAATTCTATGGGATCTGCTGCCCTCTGGCTTCATATGTTACCTGCCAGCAAGTAGTGTGTGTGAACCCATGTAGGCACATACACGTACACATAAAACTAAGTAAATGTTCCTTAAAAAAGAAATAGCCTACATGATGACCCAGCCCCTCCCCCCCACACCTAAAGCAATTATTCATGTTACATTTATCTCTATTTTGTGAGGCAACATGGGTATTTTTTATTTTACTCTATCTTGTATTTTTTTTAAAATTCATGACAATGCAAGGAGCCTCTAAGTGGATTTCACATCTTTCTGATGGGGTTGAACACCTGCTTGTAGTGGGGGAGGAGCATGTACTCTAGAGTCAGACCGCTGGCTGTCTCTCCCACTCACTGGAGGCACAACTTTGGCCCGATCATCCATGATCATGATCTCTCTGGCAAATCAACCAGGAATCTTCCAATTCAGCTTCATGGCAATGGCAGAGCTTGAGGTAGCCCTTGAAAAGTGAGGTCTGACATGATGGCAGGTGTATGTGGTTAAGGGATGGCAGGGTTTGCTATCAGCTACACCGACTACAACCCATAACTCCACTTCCTGCCAGCCGAAACACTGTGTAGAATTTTGTCTTGTGGCCAGCCTCGGTTTTTCCAATTTTAATAAAATCAACTATACAGGTCTGTGAAGAATGGACTGCATAGAAATACATGTTTTGTGTCACAAAGACATGCTTAACAAATGGAAGCTGTCTTTATTAGACAGGATTTGCTTATAGGATATATGAGTCAGACCTCAATCTCTTTTTCAGGGCCTAATTAAATTTGCAATTTGTAGTCTTCAAGGGATGCAATTTGCAGTCACATTGAGCGTGTGCGAGGAGATGTGCTGAACAAATGGAGCTGATGGGCTTTATTATTAATTATCTTGAGTTGTTCCAAATAAAAATGACTGAATGACGTTGGATTTTCAGTTATCAATCATTCTTTAGTATTAGGGTTTGTCCAACATAATTTCTTCCGAGCAGTTTGGCTTCCCCCAGGCTAATGAAGAGCAAATTTGCCTCACCTAGGCACCGTCAGCACTTCCCGTTGGCCCTTTGACAAGTACCATGGAATATCAAATGACAATGGGTCACCTCAGCAGCAGCGCTGTTCAATTCCAACCCAGCTTAATTGCTAAGGCTGCTGAGCTCAATGCAATGTCTGCTTCTGTTTGTAGTCCCTCATACTTCTGTCACTGTGGACCTGAAGAGAAAGTCAAATTCTGCATTCCCTAGGGAACCACTGAAGGTGTGTTTGGGGACTTAGCTTGGCATATTGCTTCCAAAGCTATTCAGCTCTGGTTACTCTGAAATCACTCCATTTAATATTTCCCCTGGGGATCTTGCAGAACATTCAGTGGTTCCTAAGCCCTGTGAATCAGAGGTGGAGCACAGTTGTGATTCTAAAGGGTCCACCGACTGGTGGAACACGGGTATGGCAGAGCCAATGAAGGCAGAATGCCTTGTTAATACTGTTAGCTGCCCAAACAGCCTTGGATAAGACCTGTCCTGCATGGAATTACAGAGACACAGAGAATGAATTAAAATTATTCTTCAAACAGAAATATGGGGAGCCTGGGAAGTGTCAGAAAGGCAATTTCATAGTTACAATTCCAGAAGAAGAGATATGATTTCACATAACAAGGAAGTTCCTGGGCAGTTTTAGTTATATTTAGTGATGTGTGAAAAATACTTTAGTAAAACACATCTGCTTCTAAGGTTTATTTATCAGTTTTTAGCAACAGCAAGTACTGCAGTAGGAATCGGAGCTGAATTTGAGTCTTCAATTACTACAATGGGGGGCATTGTTTTAAGTAAGTCCCTCACCATGTTTAGTCCATTTTCCTCATTTGTAAAATTTATATTTAACAATACTGAGTCGAGTTCTAAGATTACATTGTGGTTCTAAAATCACATGACTGAATTTTTGAAAAATCTATTATGACTGAGTCAAAATCTTGATTAATCGGCATTTCATCCCCATGATCTTTCCTTCTAACAGAAGGGACTTCTGCCTTACGAAGTCTTTAGCCAGAAAAAACTAGCCTGTTGCTTACCAGAAAATAGAACAAGGAAATACTTCAATAACATATGCCTTCAAATATTCTATTCATTAATGAGAAAGAAGAAGAATGAAAATCAGAATTTTCAAGACTCTCATGCTGTCATTTTTTCTGCAGGAACAATCTGTAAATCAGTGTTGCCATTACTAAAGGAAAGAGATGATTTTTAAAAAGGATTAGTTTCTTGATGTTGTACAGGCCAATCCTCTGAGCCAACAGATGTCATCTTCAGGAGCTCAGATGTGCCTTCTGGAATGATCATCCCAATTGGGCTTGATGACTACTGACATCTGTCAAAGGAAGAGGAGGAGGTGGGAAGGGTCATAGAACTCCTACCTGAGTATTCTGCCCTCACTGCACACAGCCTTGGCCAGGAGCTAGAGGATACAGGCTGGGAAGGACCAGAGGAGAGGGCTCCGTCTACACAACCATGGGGGAGTCCTCATCTATGCTGGGTGCAGAACTCCCAGTGTGGCTATTTTAAGGTCACCCATGATCCTGCCCATAACCTGTCACCTATTGCTCTGTCAATAAGCCTAAAAATCCAATTGGTTGCCCAGGTGAATTTTTGTGGAATTGAACTTTGGTTTGTCATTAGGACTCAGGGACAGGGACAGACAATGCTTACTGCGTTCTAGGGAAAATTTCTCCCAATTCTTGCCCACATTGACCTAATTCACAAATGCAGGAGTAGATTTTAGCTCACCGTGAACTCTTTATGGCAACATTTGTAACTTCTTATACTTTATCACATACTTTCTAACTCTCAAATATGTGCTCATTTTTACTTGTCTTGCCCCTCAAGGCTGCATACTAGGATATTTTGGCCAAAGGTGTGGTTACCAGGTGTCTTATACTTCAAGGCCTAATTACAGGATGTTTTGAGATAGCTAAAGCAAAAGCTGTTAAACTGAAAGGTGGCTGGAAGGGTCTCTCTGAAGTATTTGAATCCTCAGGGACACTAAGCATTATCTATTCCCCACAGAAACAGCGCCTCAAAAACAGGTAGATAGCCTATTTTCTTTTTCATGTGTTTCAATAAAATTGTGATTATTAAAGGAAATGAATGTGTAGTAGCCTTGTCAATTTGTCCTTTCTCATCAAAAGTACAAAGAATAGGGTCTAGAATGAGCAATACTGGGGGTTAAAAAGAGCCAATATGAGCAAGTTACGATTATAGGAATAAATGTTCTAGAGATCTTGTTGTAGGGGTCCACAGAGACTCCATAGTGTGGCCTTATTCCACCTTGACCCAAGGTCAGAGAGTCCAAGCTTGTCTTGCCTTGCAAGGCTGCATAATAGGATGTTTTGGCCAAAGGCATGGTTACCAGGTGTCTTATATTTCAAGGCCTAATTACAGGATGTTTTGCCACAAGGTGTGGCTGCTAGATGTTTTGAAAATTAAGGCAGTGTCTGCATTTGTTTGGACTTTGTACCTTGTACCATAGCGTCCTTGAGAAGGGGAGGGCTTTTGCCTCTCCCCTTGCTTGTGTATAAAAAGCCCATGAAGATTAAACTTGGGGCGACTGTGTATTGACTCGGAGCCCCTCCCAATGCTATTCTGTATCTCAGTCTTTTACGTTTATATCTCTATTTTTCATATGTATTATTTCTTAATCTTCACTCTTCCCTTCAAGGATTGTTCAATAGTTGGGTGGGACCCAGCATCTTGCTTAGAGTATTTGATACTTAAATGCATTTTTTCAAAATCATTGAGTTATATACCTAAGATTTGTTACTTGTTATGCTATAACATTTTTTCTTTTTCTATTGCAAATAGTGTTTTTTGCAATATATTATGATTATGGTTTATCCTCTCCATCTCCTCCCAGATTCTCTCTACCCATTCAATTCCATACCTTCTTTCTCTTTTTTTTTTAGAAAACAAACAAGGAGTAAAAAGCAAAATCAATGAAAAAGCACAAGAACACACACACACACACACACACACACACACACACACACTCATTCACTCATATACATCAAACCCATAAAAAAATCAGAAAACATAATATACATGCAGAAAAGTAGTAAAATAAAAAATTCCCAAATAAAGCAATATGAATCATAAAAATCCACAAAAACACCACTGGCTTCATTTTGTATTGGCCATCTACTGCTGGGCAAGGGGCCTATTCTTAAGTGTGGTTTATATACCCAGTGAGACTCCATTGGAGAAAACTAATCTTTCCTTTTTACATGGTTGCCAGTTGGAGACAGCTTCTTAGTCAGGGACAGAAGCTCTTGCCCACATCTCCCTCTTAGTACTGATACCCTGTCTAGCTTGAGCCTATACGTACCTTGTGCATGTTGCCAGACTTTCTGTGAGTTCATATGTGTATCAGTCCTGTTGTGTCTGGAAGACACTGGTTCTTTGGTATTACCCATCCCTTCTGTCTCCTAAAATCTTTCTGCCTCTTCTTCCACATAGCTCCCTGTCAAGAGCGATTGTTGTGAGCTATTGTGGGCCATGATGTAATTACAGCTTACAACAATTGATAACGTAGATGCCAACCCAGCAGACAAATGGTTCTCTGATGGAGGAACTTTGTTGGGCTGGGTCTTCAGGGACACAGGCTCTGAAAAACAGGTTGCTTCCATTGTAATTTTATTTGTGCAATAACAGCTACGATATCTCCCCATTACCATGCATTTTCATGTAATGTGCACATGCAATCTCATGATTACATCTCAATCTTATGGGCACACACATGTGTGAATGGTCAGGAAGATGACTTCTCTTTTAGCTGTATAATTTTGATATATAGAAAATACACTAGGATATACTTCAGAACTAGATCTACTGTCCCACAAGGTCTGTAGACACTTGAAAGCCTGCTTTGTTACTTTTGCTCAGACTAACTGCACACATTTAACCAATTTTTACCTTAGAGCAAGTTCAAACTAGACTAAAGGCCTTTGTATATAGATTATAAGTTTAAAACTTTACAGTTATGCACAAGGTCAGAGTTGCAGGTGTCCAACCAAGGTTATCCACATAAAGCACCCTAAGAAAAGCATGCAGTTCTTTGCTTGCCAAGTCTGCTGATAAAGAGCTGTGTCTCAGAGTTTGTCATACTGGGCACTGCACCCCCTTCCTCTGGTCCTGAGACCTGGGAACCTTGTGTTACCATGGTAAATGGCTCAGCTCCTGATCGTTTAACCTAGGGATGTGCTTTTGACCCATGAGAGGTAACTCTTGTAATTTTTATTATTGCTTCAAGCCTCCTGTAAAAAAAGAGTATTATTAGGCTGGATGAGGAGAAGCAGGAGGATTAAAACAGAGAATTAGAGCTAAGAGATTATAGACAATTAGGACAAGGAAATTAGGAGAAGGCAGAACAATAAAGAGATAGGATTTAAAGAGTATGTGTGTGAGCTAATTCTTTTTGCCCTCAGATGCCCTAGTTCCTTTTTCTTCCTGTAGTGTCTGATCTGGACCCTGAAGAGAACCTTGAGGCTGGACCTCTAAGGCCCTCAATAGCTCCCTGAGCCCTGAAGGGTTTCCTGAGATATCCCATTTATAGCTGAGTGTTCCAAAGTCTCCACTCTCTGCACATTGTCCAGTTGTTACCATCTACTTACTATAAGGAGGGAAAGTTTCTCTGATGATGTCTGAGTAAGATATTGGCCTATGGTTATAGCAGAGGGTCATTAGGAGTCATTTTATTGCTATGTTCCTTTAGCAGAACAACAGTATTTGGTTTTCCTATGGCCCATGGACTATCTGGCCTATCTAGTCACAGGTTCTTGGCCACCCAAGCAGTGTTGGGTATGGGTTTCATCTCATGGAGTGGGCCTTAAGTCCAATCAGACAGACCGAAGTTGTTTACTCCCACAATGTTTATGCCACTGTTACACCAGTGTATCATGCAGGCAGGTCATTGTTATAGATCACAGGGTTTATAGCTCAGTTGGTAGTTACCTTTCTCCTCTGGTAGTGTGCAGAATACCTTCCAGTAGTGTCTTAGTTAGGATTTCTATTGCTGTGAAGATAGCATGACCATGGCAACTCTTATAAAGGAAAACATTTAACTGGAGCTGGCTTACAGTTTCAGAGGTTTAGTCCATTATCATCATGGTGGGAAGCAAGACAGTGTGCAGGCAGACATGGCGCTGGAGAAGGAGCTGAGAGTTCTACATCTGGACCAGCAGGCAGCAGAAAGAGACTGATACACATTGGCCAAGCTTGAGCTTCTGAGACCTCAATGCCCTTCTCCCCAGTGACACACCTCCTCCAACAAACCACACCTACTCCAACAAGACCACACCTCCCAATAGTGCTAGCCCCTGTGAGCCTATAGGGCCATTTTCATTCAAACTACAAGTTAGTAGGGGTGAAGGCTCTAGTTAGGTATCAGCTCAACTTCTCTGTGTTCAATAAGATATTAAAAGTATTGTCTTCAGCAATAGAGTAGTTGGGGAAATGTCTCTGGTGTTATTTGGTGACTCCATTTAGATTTCTTTCATAATGCATATATTTTAAGAAGCTTCTACAGTACTAGGCTTCCATATGACCCCAAAAATGGGTTTTTAATACTAGTTGTCACTCACCATATTCCCTCCCTTACTCCCCTCTCCTCTCCCCATTTAATCCCCATTCCAGTCTCCCAGTTTCTCCGTAGCTATATATTCTATTTCCCCTTCTTTGGGAGATCCTCCCCTCCCAAATGTTATCTATGTGTTAAAATTAAGGTCTCAGATACTTAGAAAGTTGACAGCTGAGAAGCACAGCAGTCTCTAATCCTTATTAGCCTTCCTCTCAGGGCAGCACTTGCCTCTGGAAGCTCATCGACTACAGAGCAGCCTCAGCAAGTGAGTCCGGCAACCTGGAAGTGCAGATATAGAAAGCTCTTATATATATATATATATATATCTCCATCTGGACAGTGTTAAAATAGGCATGATGTCAACCTCAATGATCGGGACAGACTGCAAATGCACTAAGAGAATGAGACGTGCATTCAGAAAACAATTTGACTGGATGTTTGGGCAAAGGAAAGAATCAGAACAATTGGTTCATTTCTGTGAGCAGAAGAGAAATCATTGATCTGAATCATAAAGAGGAAAACTGGAGATTATGTAATAGAGTCCGGAGAAATGCTCTCAATCTAGTAGGTTCAAATTTACCTTTCTCTTGGGCAGCATGTAGGTCACATGACTTCATCTTGGTCCAGATAAAATGAGTTCAGTGGACCACTGTCATTTATCCTGGCTGCCAGTCCTGCAGCATCCTTTTATTTACTGATGGGGTTCTTCAGTCATCCAATTCTGGGAAGTAGGCACTCTAGGTGGATGATGTTGCCACTTCAGATATCTGAAAAGGTCTATTAGATTACCTTCTGCTTTATACATCAGTTACAGCGGGCTCAATTGTATTAGTGCCTTTGTGTCTGACATGTCTAAAGTCCTCGCTTTATGTTTATGGGCCTGAGAGACTCAGAGCACTCCTTGCTTGTCAAGAATTTGGGGACTTTCACATAGCAGGGCTACAGCTCAAATGCATTTAAATAAAACAGAAGTTTATTGGCTCATTTAACTTGTGTGTTCAAAGTAATGCACATTTGGGTGAATAAAATGCAGAGGCTAAAATAATGTAACTGAGGATACTGCACTCTCTGCCTTTGGGTTCTGCCTTGCTGAGGATACTGCACTTGGATGCTGGGCTCTGCTTTGTTAAGAATATCACACGCTCTGCTGTTAGGCTTCACCCTGTGGCGTCATCATCTCCATTTTCATTCAGGCTTTCTTTTTGTCTTGATAAAAATGGTTGCTATAGATCTAAATTAGTTCTAAATTCCCAATCGTCCCATTAAGAACAAAGAAAATCTATTTTCAATACTTCCCAAATCTGGTCCAGTATCAAATTGCTTTGTGTCAAAATGGTTAAACTTGAGCTAATTGCTGGATCAAGGGAAACACGGAGTGTGATGATTGACATGAGGTTTGGATCCTGGGACCGTACTGGAGGGGAGCTGGAGGACAGCATGGCCCCTCCTAATTCACAAGGTTCAAGAATTCAAAAGAGATGTTTCCAGAGTAAGACAGTGGTGGTAGTAACATCAGATGAAGGAAGAATTGGAAGCTAAGCAGGGAGGCAGGACAAATAGTCCCTACAACATTCCTGAGGGGTTCTTTTTGCATCAGCTAATGAATCCCACTCATTGTTGCATTTCTATTTACTTTTTCCCTTTCCCAAGCTAACCTGATATGATTAAGCAATTATCAGTGTCAAGGCTTGTCATATTTTTTAAACCAAGCTATTCTGGACATATCCCACCATTCTGATTTTCCTTCCATCTACCCTCCTCCTATTTTTAAGGACCTCTTTGACTGACAGGACCCACTGGCACAATCTAGAAAAGTATCCCCATGTCAGTATTGGGAGGTTGGTAACCTTAGTGCCATCTGCAACCTTAACATCCACTGGCAACGAAATTGAACAGTTATTGTTGGTCTGTTACAGCAGTGACTGTTCCATTGGATGCTTGGGTCTCCCTTTAAAGCGCACGTTACTCAGCTGCCTTTGGAACATGTTTCAGCTTTTTTAAGGTCATGGATTTTTCAAATAGCTCAGTCCTTTTCTGTCCTCTCTTTCTGTCTTTTCCTCAACCCCTCCTTCTCTCAAACAGAATGTGAAAAGAAAAACCAGGCCAAGGGTTTTGAAAGGAGCATGGCGTCCTCACCCCTGGCATCCTTTGAAGGAAGCATGGGCCAAGGTGAAAGACCACTTCATTACTCTTCATGTTACGTGTAGATGAAACTCACAGTGGGATTCAATGTCTTCTCACATGTCTTCCTCAACAGACTCTCCAGTGGCTTCCCATGGATTAATGGTTAAGGAAAGAAAAGAATCAAAATTCTGGTTTGTGAAGATTTTCTGGATCTTATATTTCCTCTATGAATGAAACAGTTTTAATTATGTTCAGATTTTCAATATCCTGCATTTTGGCAACATAGCAAAGTTTTCATATTCATAGGCTAAATATGGAAAACCTGTCCACATATGGCAACTTACAGTCAGGAAATAATTATGGCAGCTCAAACTTACAATCCATGAATCAAAATTATCTGCAGAGATGGTTGAAGGACACCCAAAATAATGGAAATGTGAAAAATAAGATTGAAGTGGGCACAAGGCTACTTTTCTCATTCATTTGCAAGGCATTTCTTTTATGAGGTGTATCAAATTAGACATTAACTTTCCACTTCCATATGACAGCAAACAGTTCTCAGACACTGGGTCAACAACATCAACTATAGCAGACAGTTCTTGCCACATGACACTCATTGTTCGAGCAAGGATCTCCCTGCATCCTTACCTTGTACCCTCCCCTCAACACACACCATTTTACAGGGTAAGAAACTGGGGTTGAGAAATAGCAGAACCAGCTTAACCACTGGTGACCCTGAGAATTGACTTGAGTTTTGAAAGTCCATGTTCCTTCCACTATGCCATAAGGCTCCAACCTTGGAAGTATGCCTTATTCCAGTGGAAATGCAAGAGCATAAGTTAAGAAGTATTAGGGAACATGAGGTAGCACAAAGCCTTTTAATATATTAAAATATTATTTCACAGACTACTGAAAGCTGTGTTTTTGCAAAAACCCTCAAAAATTCTTAGCAAGTATCCAAGAAGCACAACATAGTCACAAAGCCCTTGTCTAGATGACCTTAGGTTAAGTGCCCTGGCAGTGTTAAACCTGCCTTTACTGACCTTTAAATAATTTAATAGTAATATAGAAGAGTCCCTATTTTTAGAAGGTCAGGTTTACTTTTAACTCTATTTATCTCTAACAAAGCTGTCGGGTGTTTTATATGATGACGCAGGCCTTTATTGGAAAGACTGAGTAGGAACAAACGCCTTAGTGTGTTTTCTTGACCAGATTCTGAAATCTAGTTTTGCCACAGGGTAACCTTGTCACAGATTCAGATGTTTTGTGATATTTCTGGCATGGAAGTACACATGGATTGCTGTGCTCTCAAAAAGAAAAGAATATGCATGTGTATGTATTATGTGTATATGCATATACCAAGCCATGCATGTGTGCACATTATATATATACACATATATATATGTGTGTGTATGTATGTAAAATTCCTTTTCCCTCTTTTTCTTTACATGCACACATGCATGCTCACACATATTTTGCACACATATTTTTGAATGCATGTACTTATAAAAGCAACAAAGGAGGAAAGAGAAGGCCAGAGGCAACATGGAGTCAAGCCTTCTGGGCCAGTTGTGCTACCGTGTGGTCTTTACGAGAATCTCTGAGAAGTGACATCCTCCTGGTACAGTGCACCACTGTCCCATAATCAGGGAGATCTTGAGCCGGAAACGTATTATTTCAACACGTGATAGCTCTGCTTTTCTTTTGAGGATCCACTGCCTGGCCCTAGACAGATGAACAAACCTAACCCTAAATAGATAGACCCGACCGACCCTAGACAGATTTGTGTATTATTTCCACTTGTCAAACAATACAAGCCCAGGAGTTACTTTTAAGCTTGTAAAATGTAAAACATCAAGAAAAACCAGTAGGCAGCATTGGCCACTTTTCCCTAACCTGTTTTCAACATACGTGAGTATGTGCGAGAGAGACTGCCCTCTTTACATGGTTGTGACTCAACAGCAGCCTATGCCCCTCCCACGCAGATTTGGCAGCTTCCTATATACACGGGGACATTGTTCTTTCAGACATTGTTCTTACATTTGGTGACCTCAAGCAGATGAGAGAAAATGGTAGCTATCGCCTTAGCAGATACTTAGTAGAGACTGAGGCTATGGCCGCCAAGCTGAGTGACTTACCTCAGGTACCGGGAGAGACCCAGAGTCTTTATGGACCCTCCTTTCTCTAACAAGTTCATATGCTGATTTAGGTAATATTATAATCATAGAGAGCTGAAGTTTTTTTTAGCATACAGCAGCCAAAGATATTTTTCAATATTAATAATATTATTTCAATATTAATAAGCTTGGCAGTAGTTTTAGACATTACAAAATAATGATTTCTTAAAACATTTAAAATCCTGTTATTTGCTCTATATTTTTCCCTGTCGCCTCGGTTAACCTACCCTTTCCAGTTGGGTGTAACTTCCTGCCATCAGTAAGAAATGGAACAAGTACCCTAGAGAGTTAGTTCCTTTTACAGGTCAGTGACCCAAGACATTTCTAAAGGCCACCAGAGAGCCAGCTCCCCATCACCATGTCAGGGGTTCTCCCAGTCAGTGCTGATGGCAGGCAGCCCATTAATTCAGTATTTCGTGTTGATGACAAGAAAATTACAAGTTTTCTTAGATGGGAACCTTCTTCAGAACATCATCAAGCCCAAGTCATGGCTGCAATTTTGGTGCCTTGAAAATATGCAACTAATGGACAGATGGATGGAGGGATGGATGGATGGATGGATGGATGGATGGATAGATGGATGGATGGATGGATGGATGGATGGATGGATGGATGGATAAATTAAGGAATGCCATGAAGTATCTGAGAAACAGCTTTTAGACAGTGTGATAATTATGCTAAATGGAGTAGGAAATGAAGCTAAAAGGGTAGTTTGAAGGCAGATTCTACAGGGACCTCTGTAATAAATAAAGTATCATGGCCTTTGTAAGAAATATGGATCCACTGACCTTTTGATGTTTGCTTGTTGAGTTTTTGTTTCATGCATGAACAACTGTGGCTAGTGCGCGTTTAGGAATAATTCTGGCAGGGTATAGAGAATGAGTGGCAGTAGTTGGGGATGGTTATATCATAACAAGGACAATTCTTAGGAAACTACCGAAAACTACTCAACTGTGAGAGCACAATGACTGAATGAATCGCAGTAAAAGGATAATAGTTAGAAATAGCTTGAAAATAATCTCTGTAACCTGCAGCTTGAGAGATCGGCAAGAGTTTAATCCCACAAGTGAAGGAGATGCTTTAGGAGAAGGAAGACACAATGTAAGACTAGTCTGAGTGGCTTGGCAAGATCACCCAAGAGGCATGGTGTAGACATCAGGATTTAGATGCAGTTAAGTATGAACTGAAACCATCGAGGAGGTAAGATTTGCTGGGAAAGGGGTGGAGAGGTGGACTGAGCAAAGAATTTCAGAGAATACATATATGCAAAGGGTAGGTAGAGATTGAGACACAGGCAAAGACACAAGAGAAGAACTCAACCATGGCAAGACAGACATCTCAGGGAGAATGAGGGCTTGATGGACACATCTAAAAATATGATGAAAACATTCAGGGGCAAGGAGCAGAAGCCAAATGGAGCTAAGGTGTGTGGAAGAAGAATGATTTAATCATTAGATTCAAGGGTGTTCCACTCAACCTGAAGGCTGACCCTGGGACTGGATCTCACAGGGGTCTGGAACGGGGAACTAGAAAGTTGGGAGGAACCAAAGTAGACATGTGGCCAGTTCTTAGACAAACATTGTACTCTTCTTTCTGAAGGTTATGTCTTTGTTCTTGCTTCCCTTACTGTTCCTAACTTAAATGCTGAGTAGGTCCCTAGATCACAATGCAAGTCACACTTCAGAGAATCTGACTGACCCTGGTTAGGGTGGGAATCCCTTATGGTCCAATCCATCAAGGCTGGAGGAAGATGGGAAACAACACAGAACAGACATGGCTTCTAGGACTCATTTCAGTGAACGTAGGAGAAATTCTCAGAGAGGGACCACACTGGATTGAGCAGATACTCCCACAGTCCATCTACTACCAGGTTGATGGAAAGAACTACATAAAGGCCTGGTCAATCTTTCTTGGAGGCATCAATTACTGGAAAGGTTGTAAGCACTGTGGCTCCTTTCTCCTTTGTTCCTATTTCCTGCTAGCCTACAGGGAAGCTTGCATTAATGCCTCTGTTGATTTCTCTACAGCAGGAACACGACTAAAAGAAATTGCTTGTGAAATGCCTTGACATCTCCAGGTCAAAAGGCTCAAACAAACACAAGGGATTATTTTTTTTTCTAGAAAAAGTAGACATTTCTGGTTGTTTTGCTTTTTGCCTGAGTCTCATTGATTGTCCAAATTGTGCTGGCTGATTTCTGGCTTCCATTAATCAAGCTGCCACCTGTGATAGACGGCTGGCCCTTCACCTTATTTTGATGAATTCCATTCTCACACTCATCTCTCTAGCCTAGTTTTCAGTGGATGATTTGCTGAGGGCAGAGAGGCATGGGGTTGACTAAGGATTTGGAAGTGGTAGAGTATCTCCTGAATCTGACTAAATCTGTCTCTCCACAGAAGTATTTTCCTGCCATCCCTTCTAGCTCTAAGAATAGCAATGCCAGCTGTACTTGCCTGAGCCATGTCTAAATTAATAAAACAACGTGGGATTATTGACATTTTCTTGCTTCAACTAGCAAATGTGCATCTCTGAATTTTTATCAACTGAAATGCTCTTATAATGAAACATTCCCAGAAACAGGCTCAACATAAAAATAATAATGCACATTTTACTTGTGCTAATTGTGATTTAAAGGCCTTTTATTTATCTTTCTTACATCATTGCACTCAGAAATTAGAAGTAAGCTGAGACAGTTCAAAGAAGGCAAAGAAACTTCATAGAATGAAAGGGGCCTTGTGTTCCTTGATCACTGTTGTTCACAGCTCTATTACCTAACACCTGAGTGACCTGGACATGATTTACCCTTTCTGAACCTATATTGTCACACTGGTGATGCAATTACACTGTGTTGAGGTGTAAGTGATATTTCAAGGATGCAGCACCGCATAGAGTGCCTGGCACACAGCAGAAGCCAATTAATGTGAGTTCCAGAACACAAGGTGTTTGGTAGTGAGAGGACTTCTCAGTCAT